CCCCAAAACCCCAAAACCCCAAAACCCCATAAGGTTTATTGTTGATATAATTAAAATTATAGAAATTTAAAAGTTAAAATAAATTCTAATGGTAAGTAAGTTGGTTATAACAGTAAATTTACAAATTTTTGCATAAGAATTAGCTCTAATAATTACTTTTAGTAGAATATCAAACGTTAGCAATCTAAAAAAGAGATCTAGATTGAAAAATACTACACAATACTCATGCTCCATTGTGAGGAAGGGAACATCCAAGAAGTAAGGAAAATAGTTGAAGATGGTAGAAATAACTTTGTTCAAGACATTGACATTGAATACAAAAATGAGAGCGGACTTACTCCCCTAGCTTTAGCTCTTAAATACAGAAGAAAGCCTATTGCTGAGTATCTTATTAATAAAGGTGCTAATGTCAACTCTTTAAATAAAGTAATTACAAAGTTATTTGCTGACATATATTAATTTCAGGCAAAGCAATCTATACTTTTCAATACTTGTTATGACAACTACGCAGAAGGATTGAGGCTATTGATAAATAATAAAGCAGATGTCAATTAACAAGATCACCGTGGCTGGACTCCTCTTATGATTGCAGCACACAAAAGCCTGAATGAAATAGTCGATATTTTAATCAATGAGGGTGGGGTAGATGTGGCAATCACAGATAAATTTGGCAAGAAGGCACAGGACAGAGCAGGTAATAGTGAGATATTCTACATGCTGAGTTCAGCAGCTATTGAGAAAAGAATGAGAGATGCAAGCTCAAGTAAAAGATAGTCTAAATCTAAAGTCACTAGTAGACAAAATAATAGAAGCTCTTCTAAGAAAATCACTCTTAGATAAGTAAATGATTCATACTAAAATGAGAACAATAGATTGAGTGACGAGGTTTTTAAAATTGAAGAAGGATAGTAGAAGCCAAATTAAACTAGAAATAGACTTACTAGCTAGCATAAGTCTCAAATATTCGTATCAAGTAGTAATACATAATAAACAATGAGAAGCAGTTTTCAGCATAAATCTTCCAAGAATATATAGACTCCTCAAAAGAAGCCCTCTCATGCTTAGAATTCTTCATTTTACTCTTATAATGAGATAGCTAATATTTAAAACTCCCAGATTTCCTAGTCTCATTCAATAGCATAGGATAAGCCTGCTTAGCTAGACACAATAGATCATATCAAGACCTTGCTATATCAGGTTCTTAAGAACCATTTGAGTAATATGACTGATAAAATAAATTAAACTGAGCAGTCACTTATTCTTCAATAAATATAGAAAGAACTCGCTTCCTATGAAAATTAGATAGCTGAAAAGATTATGAAAGCTCTACAAAACATGAATTTGAAGCTCTAGAAAGAGATTACTAACTTTGTAAATCTCAAAATTCGAATAGCTTATCTCAAGAGCGGTATAAACAAAGTGGGTAGCATTGATATTGAGGAGACATTCTTTAATGAGTTAGAAGATCTGATACTATTAAAATTAGATGATTTAGAGAATTAAGTAGAGACTGAGATATAGAACTCAAAAGTTCATAGTCCAAGATAGGAATATGTGAGGTAGCAAAATCTTACTCATGTTTCAAATAAAAAGAACAATTAGAGCGCAAAGAAGAAGAAAAAATCATCAAGTAAATCAATGAATCAGCATGGCTTAACATTCATAAGTAATGTCCTTTAAGATGACATTACTATGATCAATAATGAACAAGATGTATCCCAAGAATTAAAAACGATGTTCTTGAACTCTAAGGATAAATAAGAAATTGAGAAAGTCAAAAGAGAATTAACAAATGTTTTATCATAGGAATTGGAAATGGTATCATAGAATCTTGGCGAAAGATCAGAATCAAATGTTAAGGAGATAGCAACTAAGTAATTCAAACTCCTTCTTAGTAAAATCTAGTCGTAGTTGAAGCAATCAGTCTAGGATATATCAGCAAATCTGTAAAAAAGAGTTGAGACCTTAGTACAAGAGAGAATGACTAGACTCTCTGCAGAAGTCAAACAAAAGATTAGCAAGAATTTGCAAAATGGCGTCATTCAGCCTAATCAAAGATTTTAATATTCTAAGGAGAGAGTATTATAAGGACTTCAAGAAAGAGAAGAGTAGTGTAAATAACTACTTTAATAGATTGGAGATTTTTAGAAAACTGAACTTAATAGTCTGGTGTAGTAAGCAAAGCATAAATAAGGGGTGAAGCAAATGTAAGCTTATAAGGAAAATGAAGCTCCTCATAGTAAATAAAGATTATCTATTATGGATTAGAAGTATCATGATGCCTAAAAGTCTGGATCAACAAATACAACTCATGCTTCAGTTAAGAAATAAACACTTTAAACTGATGATAGAAAATCTAGGTTTGGATCAGGATAGTTTGATCAAAATGCTATTAACTCTTATAACGACTCAATAAAAGCTCATGTTGTAAATAAAACTGATAGCAATGGATGCAATTAGTAGCAGAATTAAAGCTTTGATTTCGCCTAGCTAGACTAATATGATTACTTGCCTTCTTCAAGATAGGAATACAGATAAGGAGATCAGCATATATTGACTTTAAATAATGAAATTTAAGATTAGCAAAATTTACCACCAAATTCTTAGCACGACTCAAAGCTACAAAAATTGAAGCATAAGTACTAAAACAGGTAAAAAGCAGAAAGCATTCATCAGGAGGTAAGCTAGAATTACCAAGGGCCATATAATGATCCATCTTTCAGAGAGGGAGGTATAGCTTCAAGCAGTAGTCTGATGATGTTCAACAGAAATCATGAATAGAATTAGCAAGGTAAATTATGCTGGTAATTATTATAGAGGATTTAATGATTGAGAGTAAAAGCTCATCGAATAGTAGACCATCACCCAAGAAGCAGAGAGTAGAGCATAAATTCTAAACACCTAGAACATATGAAGACTACAAAGCAAGTGCAAGTTAATCTAAAACATTTGATAAATCTCAAAATAAATCACCTTTTAACTAAGATAAAACTAAACGGACAGCAATTTAAAATCACAAGCAGTAGTCTCCCAAGACAAAGAAGCATAATACCAAATTAAAAAGGAATTCAAGTTCAAATTCCCAGTATAACATAATAGTGCATCCAGCAGATAGAATTGAAGTATAACAAAATGAGAATTATACTCTATTGACAACTGTTGATAAGGAAAGGAGTTAACTAATTGAAGTATAAGATAAGAAAAGAATGATGACAGATTGTGAGGAAAATAAAAGTTTGGAAATGACTTGCACGAAAGAAGCTCAAAGTTAACTTAGAGTTTAGGAAAATGAGAAAAGTCTCCAGAAATCCTAGTCAACTCTTTCTCAGTATGAAAGAGAAATCGAAGAAATTATGAGATGTAACAGTAATTTGTCAGAGGAAAATAAAGAACTAATCGAACTTAGGAATCGAATTCAACGAAGAATAGAGAATTCAAAGAAAGCATAGAAATCTTGAAAATATCTAAAATAAAATGGAGTTTTATTCAAGACCCCTCTTTGTAAAGAAGATTTAATAAATATTTGAAGCTGTGAAATATAAGTTATTAAAGCATTAAAATCACACCAAGTCATATTACGACGCCTTCTTAATTGGGACTCGGGGTTTTGGGGTTTTGGGGTTTTGGGG